TGTTTGATCTTACACAAACAATTATACAAGATAACACGTTGGAAAAGGATTTCGTAACTTTGGGGAGGGGGGGGGGGCACACACAACCTTTATTCAAGAAAAATTCTTGACAAGCAAAAATAAAAGGGATCATCGGAAGTTCTTGAGGGAACACACACGTGAAAAAGCATTATTTTCTAATGTATATACTGGCAAAATTATTGAGGAGGAACATCTGTTAAGAAGCTTTGTTTTCTACAGTGGGGACCCGCCCCTATCCCCCCTGAACCTTCGGAGCCTGTTTACAGCATATTATAAACAAAGATTATTAACTCCTTACTGGACAGAGTCAAAGAGAGAATTTTCTAGATACGTGTCCTGAAATGAATTGGAAACTGCAAGTTGGTCAGTTTGTTTGTTTTTTTTTTAAGACAGGCAAGTGAACAAAGGAATTGAAATACAATTTCTTTCATATGACCTGCTCCTCTCGCTACATAAAACCAACGCATTGTCATATAAAATATACACATTACAAAAACATTATAATTATGAGCAATTAACTCGTTCTGAATCGGGAATTACCGGTACAGTCCCTGAAACGTTCTACTTTCCCATTTTTCCGTTCGCTCACCGTTCGTTCAGCGTGCGTTCACCGTTCGTTCACCGTGCGTTCACCGTTCGCTCTCCGTTCACAGTTTTGCGTTCACCGTTCACCGTGCGCTCGCGTTCACCGTTCAAAAAGCGTTCAGCGTTCGCTCTTCGTTCCGTTCACTTTGCGTTCACCTTGCGTTCAGCGTTCACCTATCGTTCAGTTTTCATTGTCATTCGGAACTCCGAAGTGAAAGGACTTATCTTTTTGTAGGGAAGGAGTTACAGGTTTTTTTAATTTTATAACTAACATATCGTGTTTGAAGAATCATTTCATGTTGAAAAATATCTACGATATATATTTTTATTATTCTAACTTAGCTGTTAGGTTATTTATTAAATTACTCTGGAAAATAAATGTTGTTATAAGCACATTCTGTACCTATGTAGAACTATGCTGAAATATTAAATTTAACTAAGGGCAATGTGCAAATACTTCAAGCACTGCAACATTTTGTTGTTTTGTTAAAGACGACAAATCGTTAATGGTGTTATAATTATCCAAGTCAAATAATTACGCAGCAAAATTACGAAAATATTTATTTCTAACACGTTTTTTTTTTTCAATTACTACAGAAAATATGATAGAACTAGTTCTGAGAGTTATACATAGTACTGCGGATATCCTGTTAATTTATTATCTTTGGAGCGAATTAAATTGATAGTGTGGTTAAAGGAAATATTTATTTGAAATGTACTGCACTACAGAATTTTCTCTACTATAATATGTAAAGTCTATAATTATAGAGAAAAAAAATTCTTTTTTCACCGTAACTTTATATATGATTAATACCCCCCCCCCTTTTCCCCGCAGATTGATTACTTAGTCAGTACTGTATTTCCAGAATATTTTAATTAACATTTAAAAAAAGTTAAGGTCTTTTTTAGAACAAAACTTTCAGTCTCAAAACAAACATGCATCTAAAAAAGTCACAAAACAATGTACACGTGTCGGCGGTGGTATTTGAAATTGGCAGAGAGTATGTTTCAAATTCAAGTGTTAATGCCCAATGTATTTTATTCACTTATTATTCAAATGTTGGGATCCAATCTAGCAATGATAAAAATAAATGTTATAACTTGTTAGAAATACTTGCACTTCGTCTTCGATGTGACGAAACTTTCACACCTGCACAGTGTCGAATGATTTTGATTGACAGGACAAGCACGTGGACTCCGTAGTGAACTTGAAGCAGGAAAATAAAAACCAGTATGACTGTCAAACAAATGAATATGATTTGTTGACAAGTTACTTTCACTGTTTGATATATTTAGGAGTTTTTGTTTGATATAGGTACAAACATTTAGTGAAACCTGAAAGGAGGGGGGGGGCTAAAACGGAATATTTCTTTCTCTCTCTCTCTCTCTCTCTCTCATTTGTCTGTTTAATAAAAACTATAACAGCATATTACTTTAGTATCAAGTTCCGAAAATTGAATTTATAACAAATAATATGAATATGTATCTTTGTATTATCTTGTCCGAGTATAACCACGGCCATCTACATATACATGTAGAAGTCTGCTCAATAAATCATCATGAAAAATAGAAATGACACATAATATATTATTGTATTAAAAAATTAAAATACGAGCGTATAAATGCAAAACGTCCACTGACCTTTGTAATTATTTTTTTCATTACTTTACACGAAATCGCCCTGACACGGTGATATGTGAATGGATGTTACAACCGCTTTAATTCATTCTATAAGTCAGAAGTTTTCTCTGATTTGTTTATACTTCAGCGTTCGGCAACAATTGCAATGTTTTCATGCTATTAAAGTCGTGTGATTAAAACTTAATGTGCATGCATCGTCTTTCTTAGGACAATTTTGGAGAATTCATTTTATTGACTTATTTATTCATTCATTTATTGGTTTACTTATTTATTATTTATTAATTTTTTTTTTTGGCACCTAACATTATAATACAATAATATAGTTTCAATGCAAGGAAAAGATCAGAGGCATTCCGAATATATCGTTCATCTTGCGTTCACCATTCACTTTGCGTTCGCGTTTGCGCTCCGTTCGCGTTCTGCGTTCGCTCACCGTTCACCGTTCACACATCGTTCACCAAGTTGCGTTCAGCGTTCACACATCGTTCACTCACCGTTCGCTCTGCGTTCGTTCACCGTTCGTTCAGCGTTCGCTCACCGTTCAAGTGGGAAAGTAGAACGTTTCAGGGACTGTATATCTAGAGACTGGGGTCTTGTTGAAGCTTTGACGATGGACACCACCATGTCAATATCTATACTATTGCCACCCCACAGTTAAACAGAAAGATGTCATTGTAACAAGATAGCCCTCGGTCATCTTACTGTGCTTGGCAAACAAATTGGTCTACTTAATTACTCTTGAAAAATAGTTCCACTTTCATTTTATAAGCGAATATTAAAGAGGTGATAAAAGATAAAACTAAAGTGTTGATTTCAGTCGCCAAATATCGTTTTCCTTACTTGTAATCACTAATGAGAAAATACAAACTTTCCCATTTTCTCCAAATCAGTGATATTTTATCGAATCGGAGAAATTCCGACCGGTATTTGTTGCTTCTGTCAAAATTCCGGATTCAGTATTCCCTGGCATTCAAGACTGGACAGAAGGGAACTCCTTGTTGGAACCCTTAAGGACTCCTGGCAATTGAGTATCTGTCGATTTTATATGTACCGAATGTACAACGATTTTTGTTGATGCTGTTAGACTTGGGATTTGGTTCCTTTAGAAAACAAGACCTCTAGGAGTTGTCTAACTTTAGACTAAAGCGGATAGCTGAGCCGTGCAGGGTGGGGTAAAAAAAAATATATAGTCTTGTTTTTTATCTGGATGGGAACTCATTGTGGTTTCCCATCTCTGTCTCTTACAAATTTAATGTTGCTGTCTGCTTCATTTAAAGATGCTGTTTTATTAAGTAGAACATGAATCGACAAGTTGTAACAGGTCTAGACATGTTGCAATGCCATGAAAGATAACTCACATTGGTATATTCTGTTTCCTAGGATTTTGTTACCGAACTTTGTTCACGAATACTACAAGTAAAAAAAAAATACAGAATATCTTCTTTAAAAATGTTGCTTTATATGATTCAAACCAGTCGTTCGAAAAATATGAAGAAAAATCTATCACTTTACTTGAAATGTATATAATAGCGATTTGTCTATTAAACTATAATCTGCATGATTTTTGGCCAAATTGCTTTTTATACTTGATATGTTGTAGAGACCTCAAATTAAAGAAATGAAGAAGTGTAACTTCTTAAGTACAAAATTTATACACACAGAGTTGCTGTCTGTCTTCTTTTTAAGGTTCACAGCTTTACATTAAAATTCAGATATGTAAAATAGAGTACAATATGCATGGATTAATGTTGTGTTCTCATTCACTTTTCTTTTTTAAATTATGATTTTTGTTATTTGTGCATAAATGCATGAACATTTATCAGAATTTTTGGTCCATATAAAAGATTTTTAATTTATTTACTACTTTTTCGTGCTTTACAAGGTAATTTTCAATGCGTACAAATCTATTTTCAATTTCGATCATTTCTACCCCAGGGTACAATTTTTCACTTCGATTGACAATGCAATAAAAACAATTAAACACCTTCTGGTAGTTTACCCTTGCACGCGACTCTTTACATTTTACTTCGTAGGCGGAGCTTACAATTTGAGTAGCCAATCGTTCAGCCGCAGTTTGTAAATCTCTTTCATTCATAAGAGCGAGTACTACATACCCTTCATCGTTCATTCATAAGTTGTCGTGGCTTAAAAATCCCTGCATTTGTTGATATAAATTTGGATGGCCTACATTTACTATAAATAGAAAATAAGCTCGGCAACGATAAATAAGCAATTTGCACATATCTTTTACAATTTCATTAAAAAAGAATTTCCATCATTATCAAAGCTATATATACATTGTCCACAACTTTAAAAAATATGTTCTGCTTGGAAAATACTTTACAATACGTATTTCGATAAATTCTGGTATCTATACTGTACAATTTTTTTTATGTAATATGCATTTGAATGTTTGAAAAAATGTTTACATTTTTTTCTTAATGTAACTTGTTTTTAATATGTTAATCTTCATTCGCGAGAGAATATCAAGAACTATCTTCTCAGTACTCGTCGGCTCGTCACAGGTTATGAATATTCATGATTATAACCAACGATTGAAATTATCGAAAAGTGAACAAAAACTTGCACTATTGACTTCAAGAAGAACATTAAAATTATAATTTTTAAAAATTATCTGATTTAAAAGAGAATTCTTTTATTTCTATATTGAAATATTTGTGCCCGAAGCAAATTCTCCATACATTCATCACACTACGCATGCGCCTAATCAGCTGCCTGCGATAGATCTCATTCAGAGCTAAGGTTCTCAACGATTCGGGGGTGTATATATATTTTAGCTATCGGTTCGAATGGATTGTTAGCCGTTTGAGCTCTCGTCGGAGCTGTACGGTTATCGTTTCAAACCGGCAAGACTATCTACCTCTAATAACACGCTAAAACACTGTGAACATTATTATTCTGGACATCTTTTATTAATATTCTGTTGGAACTCGCATAAACGTTAAATTTTTCCTGTGATTGATAGATTGACCATTTAAAATTCGATTTTTGGACTTGGACATTTTGCTTTAAATACCCAACATGAATTTAATGTGCTGTGAAACGGAATCGCAAAGAAGAGCATATGAAGATCCCGTGCTTCTTAAAGACTATCGAGTCCTGCATAATTTACTGCAAACGGAGGACAGATACATGCCATCACCAACCTATTTTTCTTGTGTTCAAACTGACATTAAACCATATATGAGGAAAATGGTGGCACAATGGATGCTTGAGGTAATTTTTTTAATTCATTGTTTTGGATTGCAAGGAAATTTTCAATGAGAGAATGCAAAAGAACACAGAGGAATGTCGGTCACCTTCACGAGGGCATGTAGTTCATACCCTGCAAATGAAATCAAAATGCATATTTATTTCATTCATATCTGATACTGACATGCATGCGTTCTGAAAGTTAAGTAATTTTTCTGTTAAATTATGTTAAAATTGAGTATTTTATCGTAATTGGTGATTTTATATCATTTTTCCTTCAACTCGCATATTTTCTCATGACGCGATGGAAGATCAAATATGGCGGCCAAAATTTTTAGAGGGAAATAGGGTACCTTCACAAAAAAGGTTTTAAATCACATTTTCAATCAATAAAACCCAAATATTATTGATAAGCCTTTTAGAGTAAACATCGAGGAAGGATCTTTATATTTAAAAATTCATTTTTTTCGCAGGACCTATTTTTTACAAATTTTCTCTACTCGATAATTTTTCATGTGGGAGAAACACATTTTGGCCATAATAACGTTTATTTTTTACTCGTTTTTGACAAATAAAGAATAAAAACGCACTTGTCACCTATTTTGAACTGTATTTAACGTGTTTTATCACAAAAATTGGAGTTTTGATGGAAAATGAATTTTTATTAAAAGATTTCTTCATCCGCTCAAGTCTATCAACTGCCGGTTGGCCGCCTGTATGGTGGTGAATGGCTTTTGATTCTGCGCACTTGCTATCTATGTTAAATATATGACTCTTCAACCAAGTAAATACTTTAATAATTAAAAAAAAATTAAATAAATTTGTTGAAATTCAATTTAAAAGTTAGAAAACGTTTTTTGAACTTTGTTCTTCATATCTTTCTTTTTTTACTTCTGGTTAAAGAGTTTAAAAGAATTTTTTTTGGAAATAAAACAGTATTTAGAAGTAATAATTTATTTTTTCAATTTTATTTATACTTTCAGGTCTGTGAAGAACAACAGTGCGAAGAGGATGTGTTTCCTTTGGCTATGAATTACATGGACAGATTTTTATCAGTAGTGGACATTCCCAGAACAAGACTTCAGCTTTTAGGAGCTGTGTGCATGTTTCTGGCATCTAAATTAAAGGAAACCACACCTCTAACTTCAGAAAAACTTGTCATTTACACAGACAGATCAATATCATTGGAGGAATTGACGGTGAGTTTCAGAGGTGTGAAATTTCCACCCCAGGGAGGGAGAGGGGAGTCTTACCTGTCCCACCTGAGTTCCAGACACCTTGAGAAAAACCTGTCTGTATATCTGACCACATGCTAGGTTACACAATAAAGAATTTACTTGGACAGGCTTGGATATTGTCAATAGATTTATATTATCTACCTGGTTTAATTAAATCAACAATAAGCCATTAAACATGAAGGCATCATGCTGTGGAAATGGGGCTGAGATAAATCCCTCAGTTTTTCTCTACAAGCAATAGAAAGGGTTAGAAAGAAAGTCTTCAAAGGCTAATTCAGATTTATCAAAAGTATCACTAATAAAAATTTGAAATAAAATAAAATCTGGAATTTTGTCTACATTAGAAAATTCCTCTCTGTGATCTACTATAGGTAAAAGGGCCTAGAGATATGTTTATCAAGTAAAGTGTATACCTATATGTGACAGTGTTGAAGCATTCAGGTATACTGAGTGGGTTTTTTCCTTCATGCCACAAATTTTTTCTTGATCACTATGTGATAATACAGTGTTTATTCATCATTGTTTTCTTGATGTCGCTTGACAAGAGATAAAACGCAGAGATGACACAGAAAAAAGTTATAAATGTCTTTTGAACTCCCAGTGCTTCCTTCATTTATGTTCACATGCTTTTCATTTACATGACTTTTTAATTATGAAAATTAACATTTTTTTTAAATTTTTTTTTCTAGGAAATGGAATTGTTAGTTCTGAGCAAATTAAAATGGGATTTATCTGCAGTGACACCCCATGACTTTTTAGAACAAATTTTGTCTCGGATATGTCCCGATCAGGAGCGATGCAATGTGATTAAGAAACACTCACAGACATTCATAGCATTGTGTTCAACAGGTAAGACCTAAGAATCTTCTATTCTCTAATCTTTCCATTTATCAGTGAAGTGTTTTGAATGTAAGAGAGGAAATGGGGAGATTTGAGGAGGGTGTTTGGTATGTATTTTTGGAGTGTGGGAGTTTTTTTGGCAAGGATGCCCTGCTGTAGGTAAAAGATGTCTGGCAGTGGATTCAGGTCACGCTTTCATTCACTGCTGAGTTGTAAACACAGCACTTTCCCACCATAAACTGATTGAGAAAACTCAGCTTCATAGAGCCAGCAGCCAACAATTTACACAAACCAAACAGCAGAAACTTCCTCCACACATCTGGGAAGGGACAATGCCTCAGGAATTTTGACATAGTTTACTTTTGACTTATGTTAAATATATCACCAAACATTGTGTCAAATTGGTACATGAGTCACTCTGGAAATCTTCTTTTCCCACTCCAAGATTAAGAAAATAAAATCCCTCAGCTTGGAGATTTGTATATAACTTGTATGTCTTAGCATTAGAAGTGTTTTATTGTAAAGCACACCATTCTGAATTAACTCTGATTGGGGAAATCAGATTTGCAAGCCTATTAGTTCAGAGCTTGTGTGATCAACAGCTTGGGTTAAAAGAACCAAATAAACAGTAAAGAGTTTTCTCCCTTTGATAGAACTTGTCACCTTTTATTCTTGGTATTTAAACTCAAAAGTTGCCTAGGTACAAAAAAAATTCAAAAGAAATATTTATTAAAATATTATTGAAATTAAATTCTTAATTGCTCTTCTCTTTTTACAAGGGAACTTTTAGCAGTATTGATTTTTTTTTTTTTTTCCTATCAAATTTACCTGCAAAAAAATTCAGGTGAGGGGTTGTTTGCTTTTCTGAGGTCATGGCATGTCCCGATCATTAGAAGTCGCGTGGCTCCTGTCGTCATTTGCAAACAGGTGATGCTTCAGCCTGGCCCCCCTGTATAGGTATTGTCTGAGTCTCTGCTTGAATGCCGCTAGAAAGCTCAGCTGTTTACAAATTTTTCCCGGCATCTGTCAAATTGTTGAAAATAGCGACACAGCAACCACAAAACATTCCCTCAGTTGACTTGCTGTGGGTGACCAAACAAAGACAAATTAAAATTGGAAAATTACCAAAGCAGGTGTTTAATGCAAGCTAGAGATAAAAGAAATATGATCAAATAAAAGTTCTTGACTAATCATATTTTCACTGAAGTAACTCAAAACAGATTTTCTTTCATTTTACAATTTTCAAAAAAAAAAAAAAAAAAAAAAAGAAATTCTTAAAAAGACATCTAAAAAATTTAAAGTTTTGCAGCAGGCCTTTTGGTATAGATGAGGCCATATGGTGGGTATGTCAAAAAATCTTTCAAGCAGTAGTTTAATTGATACACATAAAAATAACTAAGTAAAAGATTTAGGGATTATGCAAATAAACATGGCCGAAATGATAGATCCAGAATTAAGAGTACATAGGATATGAACAAGACAGGAAGGGAGAGATTAGTGGGGTTATTCACAGAAGACCCTAGGTCAAGTGCCACCTAATCAAAATTGACCTATGATGTCAAACTCACCTTCAAAAAAGCCTATTATCTACCCAAACTTTCCATTTAAATTTCTTGAGAAATTTTGTATAAAAATGCTTAAATGCCTTTTCCTTGACAACAACAATAGAAAGAGCCTTTTTTGTGTGAAATTGAGAATTAAGGTGTAAAAAGAAGTTTTAGGTGTTGTAGACAGGTATACAAATGAAGGTGAGGGATTACTTATCAGAGTTTATTTACCTAACCCTGTGAATGCTGTTTGTTTATGGTGGGAAATGTACAACTCATATGAAATGGAATTTGAAATCTTTTAATTTTCTTTGTGCTAGTCGAGCAATTTTTTTTTTTACAAGAAAGCCTCTCATTGCTGCCATTGTGTCATGCGCGCTCAGAGATTTAATGCATCAAATGACTAACAAAATTTTTTTTCTTCTCTTTTTGCAGACTGCAAGTTCATTAACTACCCTCCCTCCATGATTGCAGCAGGTAGCGTGGGAGCAGCAGCCCATGGTCTTCTAAAGACGGACAACACAAAACTCCTTCAGAGTCTCCATCACATCCTTAGTATTGACGTGGTAGGTGTCTGCTTTACAGCACTTTCGATTCATTTTTTTTTTTTTTAAAGAAATTCTTGACACCTTCAGCTTGGAAAAAAGTTTCTGATATTTGTTGTAAGAAATCGTTGTCACTTTCTACTCTTTGTTACGAGTGGTAATACAGTCAAAAAGGAGTCTAGGGTCCTTTGTTGTCCAATTAGCACCTCAGTGGCTGGGTGTTAGTGATAAACACACCAAGCTTGTGATTAAGCAAACTTAACCCAGCCAAAAGGTTAATGACTATTTGATAAGGTTCTAAGGCTCCGAGTTCAATGTCACAATAAACTATAAACTGTAAAAGTGACCTGGCAGACTTGTAGCAATAGTGTGGGAACGCTGATTTTCTCCCTAGTGTTTACTGATGGAGCTGAAGTGTTTTTCCTGTTTTCTTGTTGGCTTTGAGATATAGATAAAATATTGTTGTGATAAAATCCTTTTCACCAAACCATGCTTAAAAATTCTAAATTTTTGTTTTGCAGGATTGTTTAAAGTCATGTCAGGACCAGATAGAACAGACTCTATCATCAAATTTGTCGCACATGGCACAGTTTTCGGAAGCGACAGCACCACCGAAAGTGGAGGTCCACAATACCCACCGTGTTCAACATGAGGGGCAGCCCACCACCCCAACAGATGTTCAAGATATCGTCTTCTAACCCTACAGCCTCCCGTTAGTTCAGCCCCACCCCATGCTGATACTGGGAAGAGTGGTGCCAAGTATTTCTGTTGTGTGGTTACCTTCATCTTCAGTGTCAGTATGGTATGGTGGGGCAGTTAAATGGTTGCTTAAGTCATTCATAATTTGAAATTATCCTTTAAAAAATTTTTTCCTAGTTTTGTCATCAAGAAGTGGTCAAATATAGGATTGGTCATTCAAAAATCCTTTCAGAACCATTTGGACTAGAAAATAAAATTAAAAAAAAAATTGTACTCTAGTAGACTAAGTTTATAATTAAACTAGCTTAGATTTTTCCTTTTATTTATGCATGTACACAATGTACAATGTGTAGTTGCCTCCATTAGTTAAAAAAAAATGTGAAAAAAAAAATTCTTAAAAACTACAATATATAAATTAAAAAAAAAAAAAGTTTTGGTCAGTCTTGCTCAGATAAATATGGTAAACAATGCATGCTTTTCTCAGTATATTAGTATATATATTTTTTTTCTTTTTAAAGATGAATTTCATTGTATGATTGACTTTGCAACCACTCAAAAATTATTTTAACATATTCCTAACTGCCAAGGAAATTATTTAGTTGCATTTACTACGGTTTATTATTACATTTCTTTTTTATTCTGCACCCTTTGCCATGCCAGACCTTCATATCTCCAAATAATTTGGCCATTTATATTTTTTGTGTGACCTCATAACGAGGTGTGGTTAGGTGGACCTGAATGAAGAATCACTGCCTTAAACAATATTTCTGATAAACTGTGCCAGAAATAAACACCAGAGTACATGTGTTCATAATTTAAGAAACAAATATGTGATATATATAATTTTTATTATTTTTTGCTGGTGTTTATCATTTTGTCTGCTCTGATGTGTTTCAAAGGGCCATGGTTTGTTAATTTTGTACGAGTTGTTGTCTGTTTGAAATGTTTCACAACTTTCTATGTTATATGTGGTACTGCCTGTTTTTACCTTGTACATATTTTTTTTTTTTTTTCAAATTTCATTGTTCCATATTCTGGTTTCACTTTCAACTTTCATTTTCTCCATTTTTTTTTTTTTTTTGAAAGAGCAAAAAAAAATTTCAATCATTTATATATATTTTAACTCTAAAAGAAGTTATCCGTCTGCAAAATGTATTCATATATCGGTGCTTATGATACAAAAAAAAAAATCTATAGATTATGCATGAAATTTTAAAACTTCATTGTAACATGGCAATCATGAATTCATTTAATCACAGTTTTGTCACAAAACATGTATATGTTATGCAATGTTTGTTAGAACAAAAAAAAATTAGTGCTATATTTTATACAACAGTAACTCACTGTGTGTGTAAATTTTATATGTAAATATATATTTATATATTTGATACAAAAAAAATCACAAACTATTTTTGACAGAAAAAGTTTGAAAAATTGTTGGAATTGTGTTCATAAGGATCAAAGTTTCACATCCAAGTTTCTTGATTGTCTGAAAGGGACCAAAAATTCTTAAAACATTTCCATTCTTCTTTTTTTTAACCAAGCAAATTCTCATTTCCATGAAAAACCATAAATGATGTGTTCAAAATTATATTTATAATTTTCAACAAAGTTGAAAATATTTGCATTTTTTGATATTTTTCAGTTAATTTATTTATTAAGTTGTAAAAAAAAAAATTTGTCTCAGATTGTTGTATTGCCTTCCAAGTAAGAGGATATCATCTGTTCCATTTGTGTATTGGATAACAAATGATAAGGTTTCGATCAAAAAAGTGATGATTTTTCACTTACAAGACCATAGCCTCGATTTGAAAGATCATGTGACCTTAGCCTCACTCTGAGAGAGAAGTCACATGTTAGGACAGTAGTTGTACGAGGTGAACCCACATATTATACATGGTTACATGTTTTTTTGTCAAGTAAGCATACACAAAACTTTTTCGAGCTTACTCAGATATGTGTTTATGTAACAAAATCCATAACTATTTAAGTCTTTTTTTTTCGATTAAGAGAGCGTTTATTCATATGTATCTAATAATATATTCTGTATCCGAGGCCTTGTCCTGCTCTTCTGTGATTTTCCAGTTAACACTGTGTATTGTTCCGAGCTGGAAACAAAGAAATTGTGTCTCAAAACCAAGAGCAGGACAAATGTAGGCAGTATTGTCTTTTTTTCCCTTTTTTTTTTTTTTTTTACCTTAGTAAAGATAATGAAAGTAATTAATTTTTTTTATCTGTGTCTTTCAAGTTTAAAGAATTTCATTTTTATCTGTGATATTTTGTCTGAATACCAATGATGAAATGATAGTTGTATGAAAGTTTGAAAATATGAGGATTATGAATGCTAGACTTCATACAATTGCGGGTACTGTATATTTAGTTTCAATGCAATATGCATACGATGAGTAAAAATGGCGACCAAAATTAACGTACATTTTGTTTTATCCTCGCAAAAAAGAATGTGATAACTTTTTTTATTTTACCCGTAAAGCTGCAATTTTAGAGGATATTACTTGTGTACGATAGGTTATGGTCTCTTATTTCGTATCTTTGGTCGCAGTTCAAAGGGATGTAAAGTTCGGAGAATTCTTGTAGAAAACTTATGCGAAGAAATGTTTTACTTTGTATAGGAAAGCGACGAAAGTAGTTTGTAAATTTGGAAAGTTATTATGCATGTAAACCATACTGAACTGTACTTTTATACTGTTCGACCAAATCTTACACGATAAATGTGTAAATCAATTGAAGGCAATATTGAATAAAATATTTGAAATTGAAATAAGAATTTCTGTTATTATTGACAGTTTCAAGATTTGGGAGTCATTGCTGGCTCGGACTGGCTTATTCATTAAGAGAGTTATAGTAGTTGTAAATTGTAAACTTGAAAAGGGTTTCTGATCCGGATTAACCCGATCATTAGTAAGCTTGTTAATCCACAAATGTACGACCGATTTATAAAATATACAATGGCGAGGGAAATGCCGTTAAGAGCAAACTGATTTTCGAAAGTAAATTCGGATTAACGCATACAAAGCTCCACATAATTAAATAATCCATAATCTTAAATTTGTGGGGCGTCGTGTTTAGAAGAACATATGGGCAGGTTATCAAGGAAACAAACAGAGATGTAAAATCCATCTAAACGTCAGCGTATGTCCGATGGTCGGAAGTAGGAAGTTTTTCTATGGAGATTAAATCGGAGGGATTTTGACGATTACATTTCCATTAAGAGTCGTGTTATAGACATACTTATATACATGTACATGTAGATATTTAATTTGTATTCTGCTGAGACGACATTTTTTTCAGATGTATATTACTTCCTATGTCTATTGCTTTCCTGGGTGCAACGCATAATTGATTAATTATAACGCGGTGTAAAAATTTTCTAGTAATGCATAACCATCAAGATTTTCATAATTTAGGGTGTTGCTTAAATTTTAGTTACTGTAAGACAGTGCGAAGTCTGACAGAAGCAGAGTCTGACAAGAAGCATAGATGAATCCTATAATTGGGTGATTGAACCTTTATTGAAAAGACAGTGCTCTAAGTAAATTTATGTATATAAAGTCCTTTAGAGGTCATTTCAACGGTTATCAGATAAAATCACAGAATAGGTTCAGATGCATAATTCTTTTGATAACAAGGAATCTTTTACGTGAACGGTCAATGAATCTTGCACAAGGTCGCGCGGATCTGCTTTGCAGGTGGGGTGCCGATAGCACACATATGACAAAACTGTCCTACCTCGTCATTAGCTTATCAAGTGGGTCTAATTAATACAACAATTGAGGAATTAAATGTCTTGAATATATTTTCCATTTGGTATAGAAGATATCAGGTGGTTGACGGATGATTTGGATAGATAGGACTATTCAGTTGATATTGGTGCCTCAAAAAGTACACGTTGTTCAAAAACACTACATCAATGATTATTCAATGCAAGTTACAATTATCCAAAAACACTACATCAATGATTATTCATATCCAAAAACAAAACATCAATGATTATTCAATGCAAGTTACACTTATCCAAAAACAAAACATCAATGATTATTCAATGCAAGTTACACTCATCAAAAACAAAACATCAATGATTATTCAATGCAAGTTACAGAGATGCCTGTCTCTTACAGACAAAATAGATACAGTATACCCGGAATCTCTTTATTTACCGTATCTTAACTCTAAAAAAAGAAAAATAAAATGTTCACATACAAATAGAAACATTTTTTTTACATGTATATGCTTCAAAAAGATCCTTGATTCATATATATACGTACCCACTCTCTCTCTCTCTCTCTCTCTCTCTCTCTCTCTCTCTCAAACAAAAGATGTAGCCCGTTTGATTATATGCACTGCAGTATGTCAATGAGTCCGCAATAGCGATGGCATTATATGTACATGTATATATTTACACACAATGCTCATTGCATACATACCGGTCAATACGAATCATTATCAAAGGTCAGAAAAGGGCCGCTTGCAGTACGTGTCCTAAAAGACACATATTATTCTTTGCAACCTATCCTCAGATAAAAGCTTTAAAATGAAGTAATATGTTATCATTATCTCTTGGCGCTACGGCACTCTCTTTCTCTTGTCTAAAGAACAAGGGCTACTGTGTATTTTTATGCATTTATAATGAACTCGCTCAGTCTGTCTGAAGGAAATTCGAAACGTTTGGAAATGAAAACTAATCTAACAACTGAAACCTTTTTTCTGATATCTGATAGAGTAAATGATTTCATATGGCTTTAGATTGGTCATTAAAACCTGGACAGTAATTGGGAGGTCGTGTTGGCATGTCCAGTGCCAACGTGTGTGACCAATTCCATAGCGATATTTGACATTTTCATAACGCGCAACGTGAAAAGTTACATATAGATGTGATTGTTGCAAAGTGTGAGTAGTGTCATTTCGGACCCCATAAAATCGACACCCCCCTCCCCGAGGTGCGAAATATTACGATGACCAGTTCCGATTACAAGTCGTCTAACAGCCCCTACCTGCTGGGTTGAATTAGTACAAATTAGTGGAAATTAAAACTAGATTCGATGACTGACCAGTACACTGTAGGGGGTAGGGAACTAGGCTTGTAAACGGAATCAATAGTGGTAGGAAATTTTCGATTTCTCCAACAATGCGCCTTGTGAATAATAATACTCAGATTTAAGTGTGCTTTTAGAAAAAAAAAATTGAGGTAATCTTAAAATGATATTCAAAGTTTGATTCGATGTTACAGTGTAAAGGTATTTCTTAAAAAAAATTTAAGTTTAGTATTTAAATTTTGATGTTATGAACATGGTAACATTTCATCATTTCCTTAAATGTCTTCAGCATAAAAATGCAAAGTTTACTTCTAACAAAAATCTCTCTTTTACGATCAATTTTCATATATAAATTATGTCAAATTTCTTATGTTCATATTACAACAGAACTTTCAAGATTATGAGGACAAAGGCCAGTGTCTTGTATTTTTCACCTGTACGGGTAATTATCTGGGCACTAACGGAACTTTTTCCTCCTCTTTGTCCGTCTATACCCAGATGTCCCCAAACGGACTGTTAGCTACCCCCAGAACAACGAACCTGCGTCTGCCCGAGAGAAACTCCACTATAAATGGAACACACTCTTCAAATTCTAATTGTTTCGTTTGAATAACTTTAATAATTCCATTACAATCGAAAATTTCGATATCGCACGACCGTGATTAGTTTTATTTTGCACGAGCGTGTTTCACAAAGGGCAGGTGCGCGTGTGGGGGACAAAGAGGCAAGCGCTGTATGTTCAGACATTTTGTTTGATCGCCCTGTTTCATCAATACCGATACATCGCATCAGACATTGCGATACTTATTAGCAATAATAAACGCTCCATGACGTTTGACAAGAAGACAAACCTTTAAAATTCACCATTGGCACGCGACGGCATCAAAGAACACAAAGATTCGAAAACACTCGAGGCGTGGCTAACGGGGTCGGTGATCTAAAACTTTTGAGGTAGCCACTTTCGATGAAAAGACCGTCAGGTGAAACTTACGCGTGTTGGCTGGGGTATTATTCCGTGTGGAGAAATTGCGAAAGATGGTAAACTTATAGGTTTTGAATCATCTTGTTTAATTTGTACATAATGGAACCGAACCCGCAGGTGCTGTGTCGGCACGCGCTTCTGTAATATTGGTTCATCTTTATTCATAGCGATACATCAAGCGTTGTAACCTTCCGCCGAATTTTAATACAGCTGCATCGTGGATATAGATCAACTTTATCCATCTATTATGAGCAGGTGGTGAAATCGACTTCCATCATAATACTCTCTATAATAGGTAAATGTCGACACAGACCAGCGAATTCTTTGTCATGCGATTTGAAATTACGGTGAAATCAGTCCTATACTATATTCCCTGTAGCACATGCCGTCACACTATATCGTCTCCCATTGGACAATGCTGAAAGTTCAATAGATTCCGGCACACTTTTAGTTTTTATGTTTAATTTATTGCGTGTTATATTTACAGAAAATGAAATGCGATTCGTTTGATCCAAAACACACAATAGATTTTAACGCAATCTATTCGTTGGCATGTCATAACTAAAAAGTGATTAATGAATTTTAGATGAAGAAGCCTTTTTCAACTTGAAATGTTCATTTAACAACTGCAAATTGTGATTTTTTTTTTATTTTGAGTAAAATTTAAAAATTTAAAATTAGCTTTATTTCTTTTATTTTCTTTTTTTAAACCTTCTTTTCAAACAAAGACCCTGGTTTTATGATGAAGACATGTGCAGGATAAGCGGCCAGTTATTGGTTCATGCGAGATCAACCAAGCTTTTAGATTCCACTGCACTGTGATGGAATGGTCGTCAAAGACATATGCCAGCCTCCCAGATTCACCTGCCGTCGGTTGAAAAAAAAAGGGGGCGATGACCAAGTTCCAGCTGCCTCCAAAAATCGATACACTTTGTTTTCAGTCTAAATAAAGAACCGTTATTTTGAGGAAATTCTGATCAAGCAAGGCTGGTCAGTTGGAAAAAATTCTTAATGTCCAAACGATGCCATCGAACCTGTGGTCTTTTGTCTAACCATAGCGAAAGCGAACAGGAGCGGCCATTGTTTGGCAATTTATTTGGATCACTTGGAAGAAATCTTGTCATGTCCGATTGACACTTGTAATTTGAATAACATTTATATATATAACTCATTAAAGCTTTCATTTCATTTTGTCTACTGCTTTCAAACTTTGAAATCGCTAGAACTGACCTTTGCAGACTTAAAATCGTAAAAAATTTGATTTGACGTCAGTAGTTGTTGCCTTTTTATAGACAAAGAACTGGGCGATTTGTTTTGAGACCTGTTAAATGCATTCCAACAGGTTCAAGAATTTGGCAGGTTTATCAATAAGCCAATCAATTCTTCAATAATCTATCAAGGTTCTAGATCTGGAATCTGAAGAAGGAGTGATCCAACAGGATTATTTCGCATGAAGGGAGATAACCAACAGGATTATCCTGCGGAGAAATCTGGACTCTCCTTGCACCTGGATTGGTCCATATCATTAAGCTTGTTGGAGAGTAATTGTCTTTTACAACTGATATTCGCTTAATTGTAGTTCTGCATGTGATCGTCGACCTTATAGCAACCTCTAATCGGTTTTAAGGTTCTTTTTTAAAATAACGTTGGCAGTTCAAAAATCAAACTACTACCAGCACATTATTTGCATATGTAAGTGTTTAGACTGGCAGAATAAGTAATATATTTTCATTGATACCCTTCAACTTTGCA